GAAGAAATAATGTGATAAATAATGCTTATTTCAGTAAAAATGATATATTAGAGGGATATGTCTATAAAGTGGAGGTTCTATCAGTCTTAAGACCATCTTACACTATAGAATTTACACCTGTTTTACATGTTATAGCAGAAACCCTGCAACTGCAAACAACAGAATTATATGAAACATAAAAAACTGTTAAAGGAAAAAATAGAAACAATATCCACACTTCCTTCTAAGTTCCAAGTGTCACACTTCTGAAAATACAATCTAATTTTTTGCCTATACAAATGTAAGCTACCTAAATTATGTATATAGCTCCGTACATTAGATGCCGACTGCAAGAGGTGCAACAGTTCTGATTATCGTAGAAAAATAGCACTGCTACTTACTACAATTATTTCTTTAGAAAATTTAGCTGTTAAAACATTAACCAAACCATGAGTTTGTTGTTCGGTGTATTGAAACAAATAGCTAATTCCCTGTTGGTTAAGAACACAGAGCCTGGAGCCAGATTGCTGGAATCAAATCCTGGCTTCATCATTTCCTCATGTGGTGTCCCGATTCCTCAAATATAAAAGAGGCATAAAAATCGCATCTTTCTCATATGATCACTGTAAAGATTAAATGAATTAATACACACAAAGTGCTTAGAACAGTGCTTGGCAAACAGTAGACACTGCATGTTCTGGTGATTATTACTATTTTCAATAAGTACTTTTTAACTGAACACAGACACATTGTAAATCATTTCCCAGTGAGTATTTAACTTGCATGCACCGTAGGGGGAAAAGGAGAAATAAATGATGGTCATCAAATGGAGATATAGTAACACTCCCTTATAACAGATTTTAGATGAAAATATGCTTAATCTTTGCCAATAGTGTTTCGTCAGCAACAGAATAGCCACATAATCAGGTTTAACTAGGCAAAATGAAATTATCTAAACCTGATGCTCTTGCAATATTTGAAAAAAAAAAAAGATAGACGATTTCAGATTTAATAAATGAAGGCTTTTCAGTTTTAGGTACTTTTGCTAAGAAGCTCAGAGTACTTTACAAATATTCTAATTAACCTTTGACATATTCATTGAAACAAGAGGCATTCACTGTTTCTATTTTTTAAATATATATTATTTAAAATGATTTAGCAGGCTGAGACTACAGATGATTTAGAAGCGCAAAAATATCTGCCATTCAAACAGTTCCATGTAAGAATTATTAAGATTTGTGTCTTAAAAATGGAAAATCTATTAAAAAGGAATCAATCTAACTACTACCAAAATAGTACTTTTTGACCTAACAAAAAATAAACATTACATAACAGAGCATCACAATGGACAGAACTCAGGAGTAAAGAAGAAAGAGACCCTCATTCTGTGCTGGCTCTTTCACTAACAAAATGTGACCTTCTGTGTGTCTCCAAAGTCAGGACCTGCATAAGAAAAATGAAGGAGTTGGTCCAAAAAGTAGAACGTAGGGGTTGAAGAATCCTTAAGGGAAACTCTTCCAACCATGAAGTTCTTCCTGTAGGTTTCAAAGGTGGAAAATTGTGTCTTAAGATGCTTGAGCCACCTACAGGTATTTCTAACAGTTAAAAAGGTTATTCTGTAGCCACATTTTGGGAGTCTTTCTGTATATCTAAGCTCCTCAGTTTCTCAAATAGTCTATAATTCCAAATGTGGAAAACAATGGAACCCCACAAGAGCAAAATTTCTAAATGATGAAAGAGAACTTTAACTGGAAGCAGAAGGGTTCTATTCTCTGTTCCATTTTGTTTGCCATCATTAAGTCCCAACAAGAATAGCAGGAGGGGGTCAAAGAAATTTAGAATGTTTCCTGTACCTTCCACTTGACCAAGCCCTCTCCCAAGTGGTAGTTTTCTTACTGAGAAACAGTTCTGCCCTCAATGCTTCAAAGGAGTCCATGCCAGCTAGACTTCCCCTCCAGCACCACAGGGAGTTCAGGTCAAGGACAACCTTCTACTCTGAGAAGAAAGAAGTAGATATGGTTGAATTAAATCCATGACCTCCAGCTACTCAAACTGTGGTATGAAGAACATGCTAGGGCGCCTGGGTGGCTCAGTTGGTTAAGCAACTGCCTTCGGCTCAGGTCATGATCCTGGAGTCCCGGGATCGAGTCCCGCATCGGGCTCCCTGCTTGGCAGGGAGTCTGCCTCTCTCTCTGACCCTCCCCCCTTTCATGCTCTCTATCTCATTCTCTCTCTCAAATAAATAAATAAAATCTTTAAAAAGAACATGCTAACTCAGCAAACATTGTTTTACCAAGCGGTGATGAGACAAGAAAAGAAATTGACAGTAGTAATTGAGAATTTTTGTAGTTCATGGATATCGTGGTAGCACCAAGTACATGATCAGTGGATACTTCTCCTTGAGTGTAGATTACTTTGAAGGCTGTTGAGTGCTCTTGGTGAGCCACATGTTATACAAGCTGTATGCTAGTCACATATAGTAAGACCACAGATAGGTCTGCCATGTATTGAGAAATTAGACAATCCCCCACAGCAGATAATTTGAGAACATACCTAATGGGGCTCAATGACAGGCTTGTAGGTTTTGCGTTGAATCTTTTCATCTCCCTCCCTGTCCTTCAAGTCCTTGTCCATTTACCATGAAGGAACCCATCATTTACTTTGTTTTGTCCTCAACTTCCTTAAAATAAAAATCCAGTTTTTTTTTAACTATTTACAACATTCATTTTTAATAATAAAAGTTAAATATGATTAAAAATGGATATTTCATGGGATTTTTTTTTTTAATGTGGAGGCTGACTCTGAGTTTGTGTTAACATGATACAAAATAGCAAACTTTTTCAGGGAATAATACAAGTGGATGAATTTAGGCTATTGTCAAAGGTAGAGCAAATAAGATTAAAATCATTCGCAGGGGCACCTGGGTGGTTCAGTCGTTAAGCATCTGCCTTCAGCTCGGGTCATGCTCCCAGGGTCCTGGGATTGAGCCCCACGTCAGGCTCCCTGCTCAGCAGGAAGCCTACTTCTCTTTCTCCCACTCCCCCTGCTTGTGTTCCCTCTTTCTCTGTGTCTCTGTCAGATAAATAAATAAAATCTTTAAAAAATCAAAAAATAAAATCATTCTCAGGGGAAATTTGGCAATAAGGACGTCCACTTCCCTAAGATCATCATGGTCCAGTGGAAAGAGCATTGAATTGGATATTGGGAGTCCTGGGGTCCAGTATTAGCTTTGATGCTGACTAGGTCTGTGACTTTCCTGAAGTCTCCAAACCTTCTATACCAAAATTTCCTCCTCTGTGAAAACAGCAGTTTGAGTCAATTTCTAAAGTCTCTGACAACTTTAAAATTTCATACGTCTAACAAAATTATTTTCCCTTAACATAGTTTCCTGAAGGAGGAAAAAATTTTCCCAGCTGTGCATTTACTACCAAAAGACAGACTGACCTCCCCGTATTCCTTCGAGTAGCTCTTTATTACAAATTTAGCATTATCCATCTCATAGAGGTTGAAATCACACAACAAATGAGGCATTGACCCTGATACCAAAAACCATGCCTTTGTCATGGAGACATGAGCTCCAATTTGCAGATATCTCTGGGGTTGAGGAATAATTCACAGGGGCCTAATCATGATAGAATGGCTTCCATAAAATACCAGTATCTATAAGGTACTGTTTATTGAATTGTTGTCTGTCTCACAAGACCTTTCTCAGGGGGATCTTCAAATGCCTAACAATCCAAAATAAAGCCATCTGTCCTCCCTTAACTCATAAAGCCTACAGCATTAACCCAGGTCCTAAATAGAGTTAGGAATTAACTGAGCCCCCAGGAACACTTGAGCATGAATAACCACGCCAGAGTGGATTCCACAGGTATTCCATTTATTGCTTATGGCCCCAAATCATGTTTGAAGCTTCTCTGCACTCCTGAGATGATACGCCCTATGCCTGCCAGAGAAGCTGTCTCATGTGTGGGGCCTGGAATTAGCTCAGAATTATCAGTAATTCCCATAATGTTTTTCATTTTCAAGATAAATGGAGGGGAGTGTTGATGCAAATGAAGACAAATTCAGAAAAAAATTGGAAAAATATGGAAATTACGGAGTAAAATGTAAATGTCTAGTCATAGATCATTATTCAAAAGAATAGAAAGTCCATATCCAAGCAATATGAAAACTAAGGCAGTATATTTTAACAAAGAAAGTAAGATAATGAGATAATGGAATGTATAGATGCATGTATCATATGCATCATATTTATGGTTTATTATTGAATCTATCAGAAAGCTGAAGAATAAGGGGAAAGACATCATACAACACTTTGAAATGAAATATTCAGTCCTCATTTTCTAAAAAAGAGTTGCAATTAAAATTGAATATGGACATAAAAAAGCATCTACAGTACGAAGAATTTTCTGATCTGAATTTTAACTTGTAAAGAATATTTGTATTCTAAGTTTTCCAGAAAAGATAAGAGTGAATGGCAGTTCTTTCATAAACAAAGCAGCAATAGCATGTGATTTATCTCAGGGCTGTCCCCAGCAAAGGCATGCTGTATCAGGTATAGAGACGTACATACCAGAAAATAGGAAAACAGCACCTGCTGAAGTTAGGGGATGAAGGGAAATGGAGTCAATGAGTAGAGTCCTGGAGTGAGCTAGTCATTCCTTGATCCAGTATGCCTTGAGGATTTGTTCTTAGTGGCCTCAATTCATTAGGCAAATGCTGTCATCAATACCAGTGTTCTTTCTTCCCTAACAACAAAAGGACTTTGAGCCAATGTCTTATATTGCTAATCTGTAAGATCTCCTTTTCCTCCATAGCTGCCTCAATGCTTCTAATGTTTCCCTGTAATAAATTGGGCTCTTCTCAACTACAAACTGAAGCTCAAGGATCAACCATACTGGTTTCCTATGTGAAAAGAAAGAATCTCTATACTATTTGGACCACCGGGATTTTGAATAGCTTTAGGACGCATTTTCTCAGCACTCTTCTGCTGGTGGGTGTTCTTTCTTTCCCTGCAGAAATCAAAGATATCCACCTATGAGAAGATGTGGGCTTTTATGAGCAGCAGACAGCAGACTGCCCTGGTTAAAAACAGTGATGACGGGATCCAACGAGTACTCACCACTGACTACGCCCTGCTGATGGAGTCCACCAGCATTGAGTATGTGACACAGAGAAACTGCAACCTCACTCAGATTGGGGGCCTCATTGACTCCAAAGGTTATGGAGTGGGAACACCTATCGGTAAGAGAGGCAAGGCATGAGCCAAGACTGAGATGGGCAATGTCAATTATGAAGGATAGAAAGGAGTAAACTCAGAGATATCTACTCCACACTCTGAGAAGTTCTACAATACCTTTAGTGGACTAATCAATAAGGGAAATGCCCATGTAGGTCAGAAGCATGTTTTGAATTGACAATTCCCAGATATTTAACTTAATGAACTTTCAACCCACTGTCTCTTTCAAGCTCTACCATTAGATATCTAGTTGAGTATATCAATTTCATTATTTTACTCTCAAAAAATATCTTTAAAAGAATATCTTCCTGATTAATCCTCTTGACATTATTGTCTTCAGTACCTATACATGCCTATCTAGTTTTTCTATCTTAAATTATATTGGAATATAACAAAATTAATTATGCATATAGAATTCTATGTCAACAGAAGTAAAACCAAAGCTATACCTATAAAAGAAGAAAGGTAAAGATTAAATTATAATTCTTTGGCAATATGTTAGATACAATCAAGGATAACTATCTAAAACCTCCAAATATTCCTATTTCTGTATTTTGTGCTACTGTTTTCCCTAGGAATATTATTGCCTTGTAGGCATACAGACCCATATAGCAAGGTTTTCTTGCATGTCTAACATATAGAACTATATTCTATATTTAAGGGACAATTATGGATTCTCTCTCTATAGAAAACTGTACCATATATGGTTTGGGTATGGTGGTAATCTGCTTTTCTCAAGTGAATGATTAGTAATTTTGTGATAAGCATTCCAAGGGAGAGAAATCCGGGGCCACCTTAGACCACTGGGTAGTCTAATAAGCAGAAATCTTGGTTACAGTCAAGTCATGTTATTAAGGATCCAAGATAGATAAGTTTTTCTGGTTTATATTATTATTTTTGTTGTATGAAAGGGATTGTCCAGTCCAACCCTCAACATTAGACAAGGATCACAAACTCAAATGCTTATAGAGGCCAAGCAGATATCATAACTGAATAAACTTGTTTGCTTGAGGAAGCAATAGGGAATGGTAGCAACTATGGAAACTTAGAGACCACATGGTCATCCAAAGGGGGCAGCTGCCTTTCAGACTAGTCAATTGCATATGTGGGAATTTGAACACAAGTTTGTTAGATGTTTCGTTTTTCATTAAAATAATCAGATTTTAGGTGGACTGTCCTAAATGTTCGGACACATAGCCACAAATTCATCTAAGAAAAAAGACTATATATATCCCATATTCAACTTTTGATCAATATTAATTTAATTAACCAGATAAAGATCAAGTTTCTTTACCCTTTACTATGAATATGCAACCAGTTTGACTCCCTGCTGTCTAGCTGGTGTTAGAAACATATGCTATGGAGAAATTAACTTTATTATTATTGTTACTATTGTTATCAAGACTGTATTCTAAATAAACCTGAAGAATGATTGAGCTAGGGAACCTATAACTACTTTCTTGTCCCTTTATTTTCAATAACTTTTCCTGATGAAAATACCAATATTGCTAGTAAAGAGTATATTTCTTTTTCCCAAATGGTAAACTCTCCTTTGATTAAGTGAACACATTCTACAGGAGGCTCAGTGGGATTGTTAGACACTAATTAAAAGAATGCTATGACTCTTTTTGTAAAACAATCTACTATCTCCCTAACCAAGCTTTGCCACCTCATTTTCCGTAATAGCGGTGGGGAGAGTTAGACAGATGCTATTTTTTTATATCACACAACTGCTGATTTTAGTTAAATGGGCCATAAGTCAGACAAAAGTACCGGAAGTGGGTACATTTCCTTGAATCTTCAAAATCAAGACCTTAAGATTGATTGTGTTATATTCTACATCTTCTCAGAGGAGCAACTGTAGTTTCATAATAGAACTATGTTTAGATTAAATTATAGAGTTGAAAACTGCACTTTCCTCATTTTATCTTCCACCTCATCAGCCCACCTTGACCACCTTCAACACTACTCCTTGCTCACCAAATTTCCTATCTGGTAATAATGAGAGAAAATAACATTGTGTATCATTCCTTCTGAGAATATTTGTACTTTACTATGAGACTTTTAATGGACATTTCTTCTAATGAATGAATATAACACTAAAGTTAAAGTTTGGGGGTAGGGAGAATGGAAAGGAAACCAGGGGCTTCTTTCAGCGACAGTCCTGAATTAATGCATTAATTTGAATGCACAATTTGAAAATGACTTTGCCCTCGTGTAAATGCGTCTCAGTGAGTATCACTGCATTGTATATTATATGACATAGAGATTTGAGTGTTCTGATGCAGTCTACTTTTTTTCCATCCTCATCCATACTCTGACACACGAGCTCCAAAGTTGAAGAGCTCTTCCCCCTCCCTAGATAAAAAGAAATACACTCCAGGAATTTTTCAGACTGGTTATAAACCTGTCAGGCTTTTAAACCAAAAACAATGAAAGAATAATTGGAACAGATGGCAGACCTCAGAGAGAATACATCCATTGGGAATACAGCTGTTGGATAAATTTGTGAGATGTTTCTTCTATGATGAACTGACTCTTTAAGAAAGCTCAGGTGCTATTCAGGAAGACCTGTGTGTGTACATATATATTTTTTCAAGTGACTTGTAATAGTAAATCACTTCTGATGTCACTCAGTCCACTTAAGCAATAACGACAAGACTGAAGCTAAAATATATTCAGATACAAAAAAATTCTCCACACAATTCTGGCCTTGCCCTCCTCATTGACTCCCTGAAAGCACTAAACTCTTTCACATGGTCAAAGACTGGCAAAGTGGGCTCAGTCACAACACAAAATCGAAGACTTTGCTTCTTTGAGACTCTCAGGACAGAAGCTCTGGAAATGTGCCTCTTGAGGGATTTAAAATAAAACTTCAAGAGAATGAGAGCAGTTACAGCTTAAACAGGTTACCAGGAGGCTGGAAATTACCTTCCTTAGAGAACAACTTTAAAGGGAGATCCAATCCCCGTCTGTCTGAAATGTTGTAGGTATTGCGCAGCCTGAAGGCAGAAGGAGAGCTTCAGTCAACATTTATTGAGTGCCCACTGTGTATACTGCTATGATTACAGCGGCAACCACTACCGTTAAGAATCATTCTTAACGCTCTTCAGAGCATTTTCTTGTACATTAAAGCGAAGCTCTCCTGGTTCACTTAATTGCTCAACATGCTATGGGTATGTTAATGGTGCTAATTTTGACACTAACCATTATTCTGGGGGTGTTTGAGCAAGCAGCCAATATCTTTTAATTTGGCTTACAAGAGCCATTTTCTCACCAAAAATCCATTTTTCTAATTGACAAGCCACAATCTAACTCCAAAACATTTTGTGCTTCTTTTAAACTTGATTCTGAGTACTGACAATGACTTTAGGAAGTTTTGGGAGGAAAGAAGGAAAAATGACAAATGCCACTCTGTTAACCTTCTGCTTTTCCAACATAAAACATGCCACGGAACATAAGGTTTGTGTATGTGGAGGCTGAAGGCAGGAAGAGGGGCAGGCTGTGGGGTAGAGGAAGCAGCTTTCAGGGAAATAACACTAAGTGAGAAGTAAGAGGAAGTGAATTAAGTCCTTGCCTCTGCCAGTAACTAGCACTTTTACTCATACTTCCATATCCTCAATTTTTTGAAGGCCAAAATACATGGACTGGACTATATGATTTCTAAGATCTCTTCTGGTTCTAAGATGACTCATTTTCGATTTGCTATTTGATTTTTTGCATTTTTTATTTCTACCAAGAAGAACTTTAAAGTTTGCAACAGAAAGAGTGAAGGTGTACTGCCTTCCTACTAAGTAGAAGAAATACCAACAAAAATTCTTAGCATCCAACGAGAAATTGAGTGAATGCATCTCACCATCTTTTAATCTCTCCCTTTGCATAAATTGGCATAGGAAGCCAGTCCTGGGCAAGCTATGGCTACAGACAGATGTCAGTACTGTTTAAACCCTAACATAATTAAAAGTTCAGTGACATTACGAGAAGACTGAGTATAAAAGATATCAATGAAGTCCTTGCAAATTTTCCAAACCTAGCAGAATTTTTAGAACCTTTGAAGTTTTCAAAACCTAATCTTAATGGCATGTTACTAAGTATATTAGTCAGTAGGGACTAATACTATAACCAACATCTGCCATGTTCAAGTGGTTTACACCATAAATGTTTGTTTCTTGACCTTGCCATGGTCCACTGTGCGTTGAAAGAGAGACTGTTCATGCAGTCATCCTGGGACCCAAATTCCTTCCAATTGGTGTTTCCACTATCCCTAGTGACTTGAAGTCCTTTCCTTCCTACTGCATATTTGGGGAAATGAAGAGAGAAAGTAGAGGATCATGTTGGGAGAACGTGGGATAGGACTGGAAATATACATCACTTTAGCCCCGAATGGCTAGAAACTGGTCACTTCACCACACTGAATTAATTGTAAGGGAGACTGGGAAATGTCTAGCGGCTGCCCTAGGAAAAAGACAAGATGGCACTGGTGATCATCTAGCCAGGCTGTCACAATATTAGACAACTGAGAAAAAATAGAACCTAAACAACGAAATCCCCCAACGTGGGAAAAGATTTATGAAAACCTCACCAGAAGCAGAGGTACGTCACAGAATTCCCAGCTCAGCTTTTCCTTACTTAAAAGGAACAGACAGTCTGGGCAAGTGTGAATCTCAGCATGTCAGCTATCCACTTTCCAATTATTTAGAGCCTCCAATTATTTAGAGTCAATTTGTGGGCTGGGGTTTCCCAACAGCCATAAAGTCGTTACCTTCAAGACAATAATCCTTCCTGACATCTTCCAACCCTTTGGTGACCAAAATCCAAATGACCTTACTTACAGGCTCTCCTTACCGGGATAAAATCACTATTGCTATTCTTCAGTTACAAGAAGAGGGCAAGCTGCATATGATGAAAGAGAAGTGGTGGCGGGGGAACGGCTGCCCCGAGGAAGACAACAAAGAGGCCAGTGCTCTGGGAGTAGAAAATATTGGGGGCATCTTCATTGTTCTGGCTGCTGGACTGGTCCTTTCTGTATTTGTAGCCATTGGAGAATTTATATACAAATCACGGAAGAACAATGATGTTGAACAGGTGAGTCATCTCTTTCTAGGACTAGGTAGTTTTTAGTTGGCGTGATCTGTCTTAAGTTTGGGGGGTTTAAAGATGCCTGCCCTTCCTTGTAACAGTCTATTGAATTAGATGCCCAGAAGAGCCATTTCTGAGAGCAAAGAGCTATTGAATCCCTGCCAGGTGCTGCTGACACTGCAGCCCCATCATTTATTAATGAGAAGAAGGAAGCGCCTTATATACTAAATCCAATTAGCACTATTTGGAATGGCAGTGCAGAAATTCCAAACTCAGTTAATTTCTTGAACAGTTATTCGCTCTTAAGATAGAAACCCTAGATAAAGCAAGCAAGAAATAAATCCAAAATTGGAAAAGATATAAAAAGATCTTTGAGAGAAATGTTACCATCCTTTCTTTAAGTCTAGATGCTGAGCACATGTACTAATGCAAAGCAATTTACATAAAGATATAAATGTAGCATTTTGAAACCGAGCATTTACCTCTCTCAAAATCTGATTTGTAAAAGGATAACTCACCAATTTGGGGGGACCAGGAATATGATAAATTATACAGAATGATAACGAAATATATTAGAGACTTTATTTTTCCAAACTATATTTAGGATTATAATTGATTTCAACAGTCAACCATTTTTGCCTGTCACTTTTATTTTTGATAGAAATCACACCAGGAACTTACACCAACCTGAATAAGATGATTGTATGAAAGAGAATTCCTTCATAAGCATACCAGAATAAATAAAGTACAAAGCTCATTCCCATTGTGGTGCACTAGGCCACCCGTTCAATTTAAAGTTATTGTTAGAATTTTGAGACTATAAACAATTAATAACAGGGCTAGTTTAATGCTCAGCTGTCACTGTCCTGAAATTATTAATAATTTTTAATCAAGGGGTTCCACATTTTCACTTTGCACTGGGTCTCGCAAATTATGTAGCCAGTTCTGATTAATAATCTCATACCAGTCCCACCTCCTTTAAGTGGAAACTCTCCTTACAGTCCCAGAGCTGGGGGTGATTGATTATAACTTGGTTTTATCCTGAAAATTTTCCCACAATTACAAGGCAATTGTGAGAATATTAAGCACCCCTTTCTTAGATTTTGTTAGAGAAAACTATCTTTGCTTAAAAGGGAAAATGGACTGTTCTGCTTTGTTTTAACTTCCAATTTGCTCTTGAGGTGTCTTGTTTTATGCAACTAATTTGAAAAATAAAAGCTTGTATATGTTACGCTTTAATGTGCTTCTCATAATTGCCAGCTTCATTTTATTTAAATTTTCATTTAAATATTCATTTTTGCTTCTGATTTATTCATTTTTTTCTATATTTTTCTCATTTCTTTTGCATGCAAGGCTTTTTGTTTCTTTTATGGACTGCAGTGTAAGCAAACTCATCCAACCAACTCCACTTCTGGAACCACTTTATCTTCGGATTTAGAATGTGGCAAATTAATTCGAGAGGAGAGGGGGATTCGGACACAGTCCTCAGTTCATACTGTGTAATCAGTTAAAGGAAAAAAACTGTGCCCAGTAGAAATTGTTTCTGCTAATTGGTGTTGTTGATGATATCTGTATCTACTAAGCGTAAATAGCCATAATTCCCTATCCCTTTAAGATAGCAAAACTCACAGACTCTAGACATTGAATTCAATGCACTGAGAACAGATGTGCATTCTATGTTGAAACTGAGGTGTATTAAGGGTATATAAACTCCAAGATATGTGTATTTTCCAGAATCTGCTATACCATCAAGACAATGGTTATCTTAGTTCTATAGTCAAGCATTAGAAATAAGCAAGTCTTTCCTCATGAAAAAGTAGATCCAGACTTTCAACAGTGCAAAGCATAAAAACAAAATGCTAATATTGTGGAATTGTTTTTATCTTTGTGGACCTTTCTTTCTCCTCTTTCCCTCTCCCTTCCCTTATGTTCTGTAGATCCACACATTCAAACTACCTGAAGCCCTATCTTTTTGTAGTAACTCCATAACAATGTTGATGTTCAACTCACATTGATTCCACTATTTAAAATGTATTATTTACACAAAGACTCAAAGATGTCTTGGATTTTAAAAATTGAAAAACGTGATCCAGAAAGTGAAAACTAAACTTGAAACCTCTGGCATCACAGAAGAGCATTAGCTAAATTGAAAATCACTCAGGAAGGCACAACACAGTCAAGAATGATCCCTGGGTAGAAATTCATTTTCATCAAGTTCTCACATAACATTTACTTGACAATCCTCTGTAGGTCCAGATCATAGTATGCTCAAAGTCTCTAAGTAACTGTGATTTTTTTTTCATGCTACAGATTGTTTCTTGCAAGCTCCAAACAAGGTCCTAAACTAGGAACTAATGCATAACATCTTCTATTTTCTGCTTACTCACTCTCACTCTGCATTAATGAACATATTTTCACAAGATGTTGTTTTATTCCCTTCCTACTCACCCAGGATAGAGTGGTTGTTCTCATAGCAATCTTTTCTGAGCATTGCCACTTTCACTCTCATTTCTCTGGACCCTTCGTCATTATCAATTCATTCCAAGTATATTGGGGAGAAGGGCAGGAAGCAGAAAATAAATAGAAGAAAAAAATTCCATACACATTAGTTACAGATGTCTATAGATTTATTTTCCACTGGCATTCAAAATGTTGTAAATGATTCCCACTCTAACTGAGCTTGGTGACATAGAAAACTAACAGCATACTTAATTTGTTGTTATGAAGGATGTCTGCTATCCCTCTGAGCTTCTTTCCTCTTCACAGTGAGTAGGGGAATTAAAGATGCCTTTCATCTTCCCTCAGTATGGGATCAGTTGGTCTTTGTTCTCCTTAATGGGATTACCTTTTGACACATGAAGTTAGCCCCCAAAACATATTTCTCAGAAGTAAAGATAAGCCATCTGTGCAATCATGGAGCATTTTGCCTTCTCTTTGCTTAACTTTAAATGGGTTCCAAATTTTGAACCACAGGTCTCTCCAATCAACGTTATATTTCTCCAGTAAAGCATGTTTAGGAAAGTTGACTCTTGCCCTGATTGTTTCTCAGTCTTGCTTTCTTCTTTAAATAAACATACTTTTAAGAAAATATCTATAAATTACACCAACATTTATTTACTATTATTGAAGTGAGAGCAACATACTTTGTCTTAGGTCAGAGTTTGCATCTTCACAATCAATAGAGTCAAATGTTGGGATAAATATTTTATTATTCATAATTCATTTATTCTGTATATAGAAATCACAAATTACATAAGTTTATATTCCCAAGGGCTATTTAATAAATCAAAGATGCTACCAAAAAGTATAAGGGTGATTGATAAAGTTTGGATGATCAAGGTTAGCAATAACAAAATTCACTTTTCTACAGAGCTATCTTTTGAAAGTGTAATTCAGAGGTTTGGATAAAATTAATATTTGTGTGCCACTTTAAGCTGTATACTACCTACTTCTGATATTTATATGTTATTTTACGGTTTTCAAAATGTTTTGAAATGTTTGAAATGATACAGCATTACATTTAATCCTCTCAACAATTTTATTTCAGCTTTACTAACAGAGAAATAGATATTAGTCAGCAGCCTGGAGTCCTAGATTTTAGAATCAGAAGAGAATTCTCAAAATCAACAGAACTTAGGTGCAAGTTCTAGTACAGACACATGCTGAATGACCATAGACAAGTGACTGAATTTCTTAAAGCCTTGGTTTCTTAATATGTAATACCAGGACATAATATCTAGGTCTACAGTTGTATTGAAGGAGTATCTTTCCCAGTGGGTCCCACTGGCAAGTGTTACTCAAATAAGATTTTCTGGTCAAGGGACCCATGGAGCATTACTCTAAACATTCCTTTACTGCATGATATCGCAGTGTGTCTAAGAAGCTATGATGCATTGGGAATTTTCAACACGATTGGAAAGTATTCAGTATTTCCCAAACTTATTAGATAACAGAATCTGTTTTTCCCCAGAAGCATCTTGATGGACCATTGTTCTACAGATCATGCTCCAGGGAACACGGGCATGATAATGTGTATCTCATCCAGTGATAATGTACAAAACACATCAGCCAGGCCTGGCACATAGCTGTCATTTAATAAAAAATAGTTTTGATCATTGGGGGTAATTTTTAATTTCTCTGAGCTTCAATTTCCTCAATTATAAAATGAAGGTAATCTGTTGACCTATATTTGCTATGAGAATTAAATGAAATAATATAATGGCATAGAAAATGAGATCATTTATAAGAATTCTGTTAAAAGATACTGGTTAACAGATGTTAGTTCCTTACAGAGAAATTAAACATTGTTCTCTGGTCAGGTGGACAGTAAGTACAATTTATCATGCAACTTAATACAGAGTCAGTTTGTAAAAGAGGTTTTCCAATTTAGAGGTTCAAACTATATCCAAAACCACATTTCCTCATACAAGCATTAAAAATCAAGGGCAATTTCATTGCACCCAAGATAAGGACCCAAATCGGCAATAAGTGAGGATCTAGTAGAAGTTTTGAATCTCGTTTCTAGAAATTCTAATTTGATTATTCTGGAATGGAGGCAGGACAACAGTTTTTTGTTTTGTTTTTTTTTAAGATAACCAGTTGATTCTATTGTGTAGTAGTGATCTAAAGCATAATCATGCATATAATTGAGATTCAGTAAGTCACTGATGTTTATTGATTGATTCTAGAGGTATGACCACTAATTCTAAGCAAGATATATAGCCCATATTTGGCATTCAATATTCAAAAGATCCTCTCTAGAGAGAACTCAAAAAGAAACTGCACATCTTTGAGACAAAAATTTCATTCTATTCAATTGATAACCTTCATATTTAGTTATAGGTGCTAGGCCTACTCAAAATGATCAAATAGGAAGCTTAATTGGTCTCTGCACCCTTTGTTCCCTTGCAGGACCTCCATACATTTCAGAAATGTAGGTTCCTTACACTCTCTTCTTTTTCCTTTTATACATGCCCTAGACAACCAATTCTTGACCTGAAGTAAAT